ACTACGCTGTCGGGAATCCTCTCTAGACGGCGTTCCCGCTGTCGGCGTGCCGCTGTCGGCAGTTACCGCTGTCGCGAAATGCTTCGTCTAGAGTGGGCCTAACTCTCTCTGCTCTCTAGTACATGGGTTTTTTATATCCTCTATCCACCTACACACAGGTTTCTTGGAACAGTGCATCATACTTCCTGTATCAGTCATTCTAAATCACTTCCTTAGACATTAGTGGAAAAGCCCTGACCACTACCAAATATGGCAACGTCCAGACACTGGGACCCTAGGTCCCCTACCGTCAGGACCCCATTAGTTCTTCCTGGGTCTCAAAGATCTCTTACGTACCCCATTTCTCAGAACAGGGGAAAGTGATTCAGTACAAGAACAAGAAAGTGTTTTTCCAGCCTACTGTGCAAGAAAGTTATGTAACCTAAGATACTTATTATTATCAATATACTACAGGCTAAAGCACCCTATTACATTATGACTGTTATGACAAAGGTCAGAATTATCTACACATGTGTGTCCAGTACATCCATATATGTTCCTCAGAGAGTACAGACATATCTTCTTAGAAATTTATTCTTATGGCCATGTTTTCTTCAAATCTTTACAAAATTCACATGACAACACACTCTCAAGTGAGACTGAGAGGGCCTGCAAGGGGGGGTAGTGATTACGAATTACACAAAATTTTCGCCGCCTATTACGAATTACGTTAAAGTCTCAGAGCTGATTACGACTTTACGATTTGCGGCTAATGTCCAATTACGAATTACGTTGATTTTTGCGGAGGCTGCCTACGAATTACGAAGTCTAAAACGGCCTGATTACGCCTTACGAAAAAGGGCTTGCAGGCCCTCAAGTGATACTGACTGCCCACCGTATGATCTGCTTGGAGAGTACTACTCTAGCCAGTTCAATATTTTAAAGGTCTTAACAAACACGCTGATGTTATCGGGGATACTAACATACGCGCTTCCACAAACAACGTAGACTTCTCCCCCCTTTCTAGTACTCCTTCGCCAGAGAATTGTACATTAGATTGTCCTATAACAGAGGAAGAACTAGACATTGCAATCTCCAACCTAAAAAACAAGAAATCTAGCGGGGACGATATGGTTCTAAATGAAATGTTGAAATGCGGGAAGACCATACTAAAGAAACCCCTTCTACGTATTTTCAACTCATGTCTACAAAACGGTTACTACCCCAAAGAATGGTCACTAAGTCATATTGTACCTATACATAAATCCGGAGACACTTCACTTCCCGATAATTACCGAGGCATCTCCATAATCAGTTGTCTTGGCAAACTTTTCTGTTCCATTTTAAATACTCGACTGGTCAACTATGCTGAACATTACAGCCTTTTCAAACCCCAACAGGCCGGTTTCAGGAAAAAGTTTAGAACAACTGATAATCTTTTTGTACTGTCTACTTTAGTTAGCAAATATCTAAGTAAAAATGCACGACTATATGCCTGTTTTGTAGATTTTAGTAAAGCGTTTGATTCTGTTTGGAGAGAAGGACTTTTACGAAAATTGACGGATCTTGGAATAGGAGGCAAATTTTTAATGACTATCAAAGATATGTACTCCAAAACAACAAATTGTATCAAAACTAGCCGCGGTCTTACCGAAACTTTCGTAACTAACTGTGGGGTTCGACAAGGCTGTAACCTGAGTCCAACACTATTTAATTTATACATTAGTGATTTAGCAAATGAGTTTAATGATAATTCTTGTAACCCCCCCATATTACTTAATAAGATAGTATCTTGCTTGTTGTACGCAGATGATTTAGTTATATTTTCTGAATCTCAACGGGGTCTACAAACATCTTTGAATAGATTAGAAACTTATTGTAAAACATGGAAATTGAATGTCAACCTAAAAAAGACCAAAGTAGTCGTCTTTACAAAGGGAGGCCGTCTGCCTAAAGACTGTAATTTTTTGTACAACAACAATGTAGTAGAAATAGTAGCAAACTATTGTTACCTTGGTATCGTTGTTAATGCAGCCGGCACGTTCAAGGCAAACAACAAATACTTGTACAACAAAGGTCTGAAGGCTCTGTTTGGAGTGAATCAATCTCTAAACAAAGCCAACGCGACAATATCTGTTAGAAACAAACTTTTTGACACATGTGTAAAACCAATATTGTTGTATGGCTCCGAAATTTGGGGATCATTCAAAAGTCCAAAATCATCACGTATCGAAGCAGCTCATTTAAAATTCTGTAAGCAATCTTTATATGTTCCCAGATCTGCTTGTAATCTTGCCGTAATGGCGGAATTGGGGCGTTATCCTCTCAAACTAGAAGCATCTTTAAACACAATTAAACACTATATCAGGTTACGCCAGAACGTGCCGACTGACAGTCTCTCAGCAGACGCCCTTTTATGTCAATTTGAACTCGACGCATCCGGCACTAAATGCTGGGCTTCGGGAGTCCGCAAGACGCTAGAGGAGTGTGGTTTTGGCTACGTATGGAATTCGCCGACGTATGTCTTAAATCCTTCACAAATTATTCCAACCCTTGACCAACGTTTAAAGGACATGTATCTCCAAACTTTTACGGCAGAAATTCGTAACAACAACAAACTACGAACATACAAATTACTTAAAACCACTTACAACGAGGAAAACTATTTGAAGATAACAAACACACGACACAGAATAGCCACTACAAGACTTAGGATTAGCTCACACAAACTTCTTATTGAAAAGGGTAGGCACAACCACATTCCTCTGCAACAAAGAATTTGTCATTACTGTGATCTAAATGAGATTGAAGATGAGAGCCATTTCATTATGAACTGTAATCTATATAATAATGAGAGAGAGATTCTCTTCAATTGTATACAAGATTATTTCCCTAGTTTTAGATTTTTAGATAGAAAAGAAAAATTCACTTTCCTCATGAAACTTGATAACCCTCGTACTATAAACTCCATCTGTTCTTACATTTATAACTGTATTAAGAAGCGAGAAGAAGCAGAACCTGTACATATGTAGTTTTACTATAGATATATTTTAGTCTACCATTGCTATTTACCATGACCTGTACTTAGTTCGCAATGAGCAAAAACGTACAATAAAGGTCTTTCTTTCATTCATTCATTATCTGTGGGCTCCCTTGAAAGTCAGCCTGGTATGGATCGAATTGACTACCCATAAGATAAGATAAGATACATGAATAAAAATAATTACTTGTAGTGAAGCATAGAACTTACATACATATGCAGGTATACTAAATAAAAATATTTTTGCGGTTTCAATGTTCTCATGGGTAGAACATTCTATAATATTTAATCATTAATCATCAAAAATAATCATCAGACTTGGACACTCACATAACTGTTCATTGAAACAACATAAAAGATTGAGTTTACCATATTAGTTTTAAAAGGGGATCAGGGTGGAACCATCAGCTTTTATTTGAAAAATGGAAATTATAAAAACGGACCTTTGAGAGACCCCATGTCTACGGGTACGGGCATGTTTTAGTTCGACAATGTGAGATGATATTTTTATCGCTTTACAGCATCAGCTGCCCTCCCGGATGCACTTCAGGAAATATCTGGGGGACTGGCATCTACACAAGCGTAAGATATTGGATATTACCACATTTAGTACACATGCCTTCAATAAAAATTGATTTACCATTCGCTAAAAATCCCGGTTATGCTAATTAAGGCCACAGTAAGTAAGTTTTATGGATGACATCAGCGCGTGCATTAATTTTCGCCTGATTTTGGGAAAAAAAGAAAGAAATTTTGTTGCATTCTGACAGTGGTCATCATGCCGAAAATGGGCAAAGATGTCTGCTGCCATGCCGGAAGGTGAATGGCAGATAACTATGAAAAGAGGAGACAAGAAAAGGCTGAGATTTACTTGTTTTGTTTCTTACTTTGATGCAGTGATATGTGATGTTGGCTGTGTATATGTAATGCTCCTACTGAATCAAAACCATTTGTACAATGATTGAGTCAAGTTTTTAAAATGTACACGTAGAAACTTTTTTTTCGCCCGCTCGCATTAAATTTGCTTGCTGTGGCCTAATGGTTACTTTTAGCATTTGATGTTTTAAGCAACCATTACACCGCAGGGCTCACAACACAAAATGTGTAACAATAGCGGTTGATACACAGGAAATACCTGGTGACGTTCATAGCTTAAAGCAAGAATTACTATTTCTGCATTGACAGCCATTTACACCTAAGGCCACAGCAAGTAACTTTTATGGGTGACATCAGCCGGCGCATTAATTTTCGCCTAGATATTAAGACATTTTGTTGCCCTCTGAAAATGGTCAACATGCCAAAAATGGACAAAGCTGTCCGTTGCCATGCTGTCATTGTAATCAGTGACTGAGTGAGTCAGACATTGTAAATTATGCGAAAACATCTTGTTTCCCTCATGTTTCTTCTTCTCCTTCTCCTGCCATTTCTTCAAGTGGATTCAACTCATTTGTCAGCCAGAAAACTTGAAATTTAGCATGAAGGTAGAATACCCCTAGACCCCTAGGGGATAGGTTCATTTTTGGTACGGGGGATGAAGCCATTTGCTGCATTTGCTCGCGAGCAAATATCAGTTTAATTATAAGTATTCCTAACCTTTCGCACTGGAAGGTCTAAAACTGTCGTTATTCTCTGCCAGGATTCCCGAGTTTGCCAAGCTGCTATTCACGACGGTAGAATAACAGAAATAGGTGGACGGGTGACTGTGTACGTATGGTCCGGGCAGCAGTCGTATCAGGGATCCACTCAGAACGGTATCACATCACAAAGGTAAGCAATCGTGGGGTCGTGTGGCGTAGAGGCAGCGTGCTCGACTCGGAACCATGAGGTCCCGGGTTTGAGTCCTGACATGCCACCGACCATGTGCCCTTGGGAAAGGCACTTTACACGACTTTCCTCACTTAACTCAAGTGAAAATGAGTATTGTCTTGTCCTGTATTCGTCCTCTGCGTTAGTGGCGGCATAAAATAAGTTAATAAGTGCTATCACCATGTCTAGTGATGAAATGTTGGAATATTAAAAAAGGTAAGCAACGCACTGAAGGGACTCATGACATACATATAATATCTTGAGATTTCATACAAGTTACAGAAAACTACATGAAACAATGTTGAACTGTTATTTAACACATTTTAATCAATTTTGTCTACGAGAAAAATTGACCCCCCAGATAATCAACTGCTTGTCTGCAGTCTTTGTGTAGTTATCAAAAGATGCAAGAATTCAAAGGACTTGGGATTTTACGGGAATGGGTTAAAATTCTCAGAGCTGCATTGGTTTGCAAGTTGCATGGAAAAATGCCATATACTTAATGGACGTGCAAATTACAGGCCGCATTCCTCAGAAGAGACGGGGGTGCCATAGACTTTCTGTAACTTACGTTCCACTGCCCATCTGCGTAACGGGACGTCACAGTTGTTGCAAGTTGCATAGTTGTTGAAAAAAAAAGTAGCGCTGTGCAGTTAATGTTTGGGAAAGTATAAGTCCCATTATATCAGAATTAACACTTCAACCGTGTTCCAAACTCTTTCAAACTAATCTTCGTTAGGATTTGCATTTATAATATGACTTACATGCAGAATATGATACAATAATGATTATAAAACTAAACGTGTCGTCTTTCTTAAAAATCTGTTTCAGTTATGGAGATTGGACAAGTTCCTTCGCTTTTAGACCAGGTATTTGTATGATTCATCATTGCTCTTCTTTACAAATAATAACCACAGCTAAAGTCATAGTCAATAGGACACGGGAAGTTAAAAGTGTAGTTGTAACAGAGTTTGCGGAGTGGCCATGGGTAAAGCTGTATTATGCAGGGAGAATTAAAATAAATATAAATAGGTTAATCAAAAGTTGAGAGTTACTTTTCGGAACATATGTGCAATCAGACTATGTATCAATTTGTCTGTATATTTATACACATGTATACCGCGGTAGAAGAAGAAAATGTCATGGCTATGGACGATGCCATACCCCTCTCAGCACTGGGTGTCGACCTATTATACTGCAGGGCCTAAAATAAAACTGCATAAATTCCCAATCGTCACGTTTCTCCGGGACCTTAACAACTAAGCTACAAAAAGAAAAAAAAACAAAAACATTTCGAGCTGTAGGTATAAAGGGTCCTTCAGTGAGGTAATAAAACAATTATATCTAAAGATTTAATAATGATCTATTTCAAAAGACAGCAATAGATATGATATAATTTTTGTGTCATATGTTCATAAGCTATGACACAACAGCCTGACATTTAAAAGTTATATTATGGTAACGCCATATTTTTTGTCTTTTGCCCGATCCTTAACTTTTTGCCCAATCTTCCACAAAATAAAAGTGAATAAAATTTTTAAAAATCGAACTTATTTTTTTATTGTTTTGGAGGGGTAGCAAGTGTGATTAAGGGCAATGAAGAGTAATATTGTGTGGTTATCTACAGTTCGTGTGTTTTGATATATTTGTTGGAATGTATTACTGCAGAACAAACAACAACTTTACCTGTGACTACAACAACTTTGCCAACCAGAAGGCCAGAAGGTATTACAAGTTTGCTTCATTAATATACATGTAGTAGAAAGATGCAAACCCCTTATTTGATGAGGATGTAGTATTTTTACACGTGTAAAGCAGTTTTGTTAGCTCAGTTTATGACCCTTTTCTTTTTTAAATTATGATTACATGCCGCGGAAAAATATTTACAAAAAATGCGAAGCAACGTTGTACGAAGTTACAAATAGTTTTTTCATAATAATTATAAAACTTTCTGAACACCGTACAAGCCGAGCTTCAAACCTACTGTTTTATGTTGACATCCCTGTACATGTAGTGAGCAAAATAAGACAAGAAATTCCGTATTTCTTTACAAACTTCCGAACAATTTGGCGTTTTGAGTTGGGTTTGGGTATCTGTGTCAAACTTAGAGCCTTTTCGTGTTGTTGTTTTTTAAGTTAAACAATCTTCTTAGTGTTGATTTTGAGGACAGTCCCTGCATTACAGGGTGTCATGGGAAGACCCATTTTGAATGTGACAATGGTGAATGTATAAATACGAAGTACCTTTGTGATGGCAATGATGAGTGTGGAGACTGGAGTGACGAGGTCAACTGCAGTAAGAAACCCCCGATTGTCTGCCTGCTCGCCAGAAACTAGCCAATAATAACTCACTAATATTTTATAACAGCATGTCGGACAGAGTACCTTGTTTTGCGACTGACAAAAAAAGTTTGGTCTGGTGTTGTTTCGTGTTTGATTTTTTTTATCAATGTTAGTTAGGTCCCTTATAAGATCGTATCCTTCATGTACCTAATACATAATTTTAATAACCAAAGTTATAACTACATAATGGTTTACTAATGACTACTACAAAATGTACGTTAGAGCTCGATGTTTGCACGACATTATACTCTTTGTATTGCCTGTGCTGTAATGGTTCTATTGTATCATTTTTAACCAAATGTAATCGTTAATGTTTTTTTTTACATTAACAGTTAAGTTTTGAAACTTAACGCATGTAGTAATTTGGTTTGATTTTTCTTTCTAATGTCGCATCTTCACTAGTTGAAGATATGACATTTTACTATTCTAAACCATTTTGAACGATAATGTCATATTAAGTGTAATGAAAAACCTTTTCTTAGCTTTTATATTGTTTTATATAACAAAATGTACTTCTTTCAGCGACCACAACAACACAAGGCCAAACAATACCTGTTACAACGACATTGGCCAACAACTCAACATCACAGGCCAACAGCACAAATGCATCTTTAACCACACCTCCTTTGACTACAACAACACCGACAACCGTCCACACGACTACAACACAGTCAGGTATGGGAATAGTATAATTCCAGACATTGTTTTGACTATTTAGTAGATATTTACAATGTTTATGAACTGTATTGCTTACTATTTAGGCGATGACAAAAGACGACGTGTTTTGTATTAAAATGTTTCAATTGATAATGATGAAGTACAGCGTTAAATGATTATACATCAAATGAATAGGGATCACCCAACCCCATTTACTGTTCATTGCTTAAACTATACAATTACCACTTTGCAAATATGTTACTTATTTGCCTGATTGACTACGGCTCCGTTAAACATAACTAATCCCAAGACGCCATTTTCAACTTTGGATTTTATTACTACAACCACGAAAAAGTAGTTTTTAGCAACACCAAGAATAATAATGTTTCAAAAATATGTTAATGGTTTTAGATTTATATTACCATCAATCAAACGAAACAAAACTATCTTACAGAATGCCCGAAGGGTCTTTTTCGATGTGACAATGGCCGGTGTATTACGACTAACTGGCAGTGCGATGGCGATGACGATTGTGGTGATGGAAGTGACGAAACAAACTGCAGTAAGAGAAGCCCGATTGCTAGCCAGCGCTTTTCCTGCAAACATGTTCATTTTGCGTATCTGCTTGCGAAATCGAGATTTCAAACATGCCTTTTTTCTAATGTTCTTTTCTGCCTGTTGATTTGTCAGATGGCTCAGCGAAAATCGTAAACTTGTTTTTTTGTGTATATTTTAATGTATTTTCAACATGCTCTGATATCTTGCAATATATTTCAATGATGGCTTGATGCTTTGCGTGTTTCAAAGAGAAACATGATTTTGTAACATTTTGCGTGTATTTCAATGCATTTAAGTCATGCTCTAATATCTTGCGGCGTATTTCAATGATGAGTTCATATCATGCCTAATGTGGGTTTTAATCTTCCAGCTTCTCGTGCATTCTGCTTCAGTGGCAGAAATATTAAGCTTGGTGCTTTCGGTGGTTTGTCAGCCAGCTTGCTACATCTATAGCATTTAATGGTATACATGTACATAGCATGCAGTATAAAAATTCTGCTAGCCTTGGATTTCAGAACCTTTATTGCAAGTTGTTTTTCCCATATTTTAAATATGTAATTTGTCGCTTGAACATTTTTAATGTTTATTTCACAGACCCGACGACGCCTTTAACTACTTTACACACCGATGGAACTAGTTCATGGACAACGAGACCGAGTGGTAAAAAAACATATTCCAATGATGGGTTCAATATCACACAAATCTAACTCTGGCCTCTAAATTGCCGAATCGTAATGGCCTTCCACTTTTATAGGAGTTTTTTTATGCCTAATGTGGGTTTTAATATTCCAGCTTCTCTTTCAGTTTGCTTGAGTGTCTAAAATATCACTGTTGGTGTTTTCGGTGGTTGGTCAGGCAGCTTGTTGCATCCACAATACCATCCAATGTTTATAAAAGCATGCAGTATAAAAGTCTGTCAGCCTTGGATTTTACATATTTGCAGACCCATTCCAAGCTTTTTCTACACTGTTTAATTAAAATATGTAACTTATGACTTGAGCATTCTCAATGTTTATTCCACAGACACGACGCCTTTAACTACTTTACACACGGATGTAACTTGTTCATGGACAATGGGACCGAGTGGTAAAGGAACATATTTCAATCGAACAAATCAAACTAAGGACGCTCAATTGCCAAATAGTGATAGGCGCCCTATATTATAGTAGGGGGTCTAATCATGCATAATGTGTTTTTATACCTTTCATCTTCTCATGCAGTCTGCATGAATGCCTGAAGTATTGGATTTGGTGCTTTCGGTGGTTGTTTAACTAGCTTGCTACATCTCTGATATAATACAATGTCGTGCATAGCATGCTTTTTAAAAGTCTGTCAGCCCTGGATTTCAAATCTTTGTAGCCCCATTCCAAGCTTTTTTACACTGTTTAAAATATTCAACTTGTGACTTGAGCATTCTAAATGTTTATTCCACAGACACGACGTCTTTAACTACTTTAAACGCGGATGCCACTAGTTCATGGACAACGGAACCCAGTGGTAAATTGCCGAATCGTAATGAGCTTCCACTTTTATAGGAGGGGGTATTCTTATGCCTATTGTGCATGCAATATAAACGTCTGTCAGCCTTGGAGTTCACATCTTTACAGACCCATTCCAAGTTTTTTTTTAACTGTTTAATTAAAATATGTAACTTATGACTTGAGCATTCTCAATGTTTATTCCACAGACACGACGTCTTTAACTACTTTACACGCGGATGCCACTAGTTCGTGGACAACGGAACCTAGTGGTAAAAAAAACATATTCCAATGATGGGTTCAATGTCACACTAATCTATCTCTGGCCTTTAAATTGCCGAATCGTAATGAGCTTTCACTTTTATAGGAGGGGTATTCTTATGCCTATTGTGCGTTTAAATCTTCCAGCTCCTTTTGCAGTTCGTGTCTAAAGTATCACAATTGGTGCTTGTATCACGATTGGTGCTTTCGGTGGTTGGTCAGCCAGCTTGCTACATCTACAATACCATACGATGTTTATCAAAGCATGCAATATAAACGTCTGTCAGCCTTGGAGTTCACATCTTTGCAGACCCATTCTAAGCCTTTTTTACACTGTTTAAAATATGTAACTTGTGACTTGAGCATTCTCAATATCTATTTCACAGACCCGACGTCTTTAACTACTTTGCACGCAGAGGCCACTAGTTCGTGGTCAACGGCACCAGCTGGTAATGCTGAGTTCAATGTCAAACAAATCTAACTAGGGCCTTTAAAGTTAAGAAAGGTCAATGCCACCCACTTTAATAGGGGAGGTCTTATCATGCCTAATATGGTGTTATCTTGAAGCTCCGCGCATTCTGCTTTAGACGTACGTGTTCTCGGTAGTTGGTAAGCCAGATTGCTAGACCTCCTGTACCATTCAATGTTATATATAGCATACAATATAAAAGGCTGACAGTCTTGGATTTTAAATCTTTGCAGACATGTTGCAAGTTGTTTTCAGCTTATTTCAATAATGTAATTTGTGATTTGAGCATTCCCAATGTTTACTTCACAGACACGACGTCATTTACTACTTTATGCCGCTGCCACGCCTTTGCAACTAGTTCATCGACAACTGGACCAGGTGGTAATGATGAGTTCAATATCAAATAAATCTAACTAAAGAATGGTCGAAGCCGTCCACTTTGATAGGGGAGCTCTTATCATGCCTAATGTGGGTTTCAATCATCCAGCTTCTCGCGCATTCTGCTTGGATGTCTAAAGTATCACACTTAGTGCTTTCGGTGGTTGGTCAGCCAGCTTGCTACATCTACAATTCCATACGATGTTTATCAAAGTATGCATGCAAAAAAGTCTTTTGGTCTTGAATTTTAAATCTTTGCAGACTTGTTGAAAGTTGTTTTTAGCTTTTTTTTCATAATGTAATTTGTGATTTGAGCATTCTTTTGAGCTTTCTGGTGCAACTAGTTCATGGACAACTGGACCGGGTGGTAAAGGAACACATTTCATGATGAGTTCAATGTGCTGAATGATGAGCTAAATTGAAGAATGCTTTTATAGGAGGGGGTCTAATCATGTCTAATGTGGGTTTTAACCTTTCATCTTCTGCCTATGTGTACGGTATTATAGGCTTGGTGCTTTCGGTGGTTGGTCAGCCAGCTTGCTGCATCTACAATACCATCCGATGTTTATGCTATATAAAAGTCTGTCTGCCTTGTATTTCAGATCTTCGCAGACTGATTGCAACCAGTTCCTTTTCACCTTTTAGCTTGAACTTTGTGACTTTAAGTTTTGAACACTCAATGTTTATTTCACAGATCTGACGTCTGCAACTACTCCGCACACCCTCGCAACCAGTTCACGGACAAGGGCATCAGGTGGTATAAAGTTGTGATGAATGATGTTGAATGCGGTTTGCTGAATGTTTCCGTGTAAACGTGGCTTGAAACGAGGTGTAAATGTGTGAGGAGAGCTTGAGTTTCCTTGTCTTCTCCTTGACTGAATGTAAGTCTTTTCTTTCGTCTGTTCTTGATCATGAAGACTTGTACACGCACAAGTACACACACCTACACATGGTCATACGCGTGCATGGTACAGACTCTCTTGTAGTATAAGTCTCTACGTAGGTACAGGAAGGAGAGGAAGACCACGACGGGTGTATGGCCTACCAGTCCAGACGAGACAGAACTACAAGCCTAGTACTACCTACAACTACAAAGGCAGTAATGACACCAGCGGTAATCTCAGGTAAGATGAGGGTCATCTCAGTTTTTGCTTTTTAAAACTGATATGGAGAAGACTGTATTAATTATGCCGTGTAGCCTTTATTTTATGTTGTACTTTGTCACAAGGAGAAAAAAGGGTCGTGTGCCGGTTTTAATTTTCTCTTTGTCTGAAGATTCTGTGGTATTTGTCGGCCTTGAAATAGGGCACATTTGCACAGGGAAATCAGATACTTGCATTTTACACAGCATGATCTAGGAAGGTTTTTTGACAACACATCGTTTTGTTCTAGTAGAAGCTGCGGGGTTACATCAGGATTGGTTCGGATTGAGACAACTTCCAACCTTAGGCACCAGGACACCACTGCAGATCATCTCGCCATATTAAAAACTGTTATCAAAAATGATTATTTTTTGTTTACAATTTGAATTTGTGGATAGACTAGGCGTTTTATCATTGTATAGCGTTTGAGAAAATTATGATGTATTTATTTATTATTAATAATACCATTGGCATGTCTTTTTATGAAATGTAATCATTCAGACATCTATTAAATGAAAGCAACATTCTTTAATGTAATACGTTTGCATCATCTTCTTTTGACGTTGTCGTTTCAGTAAGATTAAGGAAGCTCTAAATATTTTAACGGAGGTAAGTGATCTCCGAATTCTTGTTGACCGGCTGTTCAACCCTGTTTTGGTGTCGAGGTGACACCCTTTGCCTAGACAAGTAATTTTGATAGCACGCTTGAATGCTTTGGTCATCTACAATTAGAATCTGTCAAAGTTGACAGTTCGTCACAATCGTCGGTAAAGAGAGGTGCTGTAGACAGACATCATGCTGAATATGTGTTAAAGAGGCATGTGATTAACTCGCTTCACCTACTTTAAAAAAACTGTTAAATATTACAGTTCATCCCTGTAGTGGGTTCAGAGAGGTATGATTATATACAGACATCATGCCGAAGGCATGTGAAGGAGACCTGCAATTAGTACGCTTCAAGGCTGCTAATGAACAGCTTCAAACCGTCATACATACTACAGATTTTTAACACTAACAGCTTTATAAATGTTAGATTCCAATCGATTGAATAGGAAATTTGAAAATTATGCAATATTAAGTGACTACAGGGACAAACGCAAAGGTTTTATATTTGGACAATCCAGAATTTCACAGTTGTCCTGTCCTGTAAACTGGGGGCAATGATTTTTCCCCTGAATGATTGGTGATTGACAGAAAAGGGTCAGACAGTAGAGTTAGTAGGACATTATATTGCACAGTTTTATGGACAGATAGCAGAAGGGGCAAGGACGGATATATATCAAGATGCCGAATTGACAGCGTGTTAAGTTAACTAGCATCCATGGACAATCTTTAGGGGAATGTGTGTGGCCAGGTCTTCAACAAAATTTGCTATACAAATTATATGTACCTTTCAGTTTTTTGACCGCGCAATTATGGTATGACATGCACTATTCTTGTCACATTAAGACACCGTGTGAACTGTCCCATTTCAAGAAAACTATCTTCCAAACAGTGTCATCTCGATCTGTGATCATTACTTGAAAAATTATAATATGTATATTTGTAACGTTATGTGATTGTGTTTTTTTTTCATTTATGCATTCGTGGTTTTGTAATTATGTTCACTCTAAATATATATGGTATTGTTTGTTTCTGTACATGTAGTATGTAGATATTTGTATTTTTAATGAATATTTCTCTTTTTTACTTAATGTACATATTGGCCTTGAAGACGGCGGGGGCAAAAGGTTTAGAGATAAATAAATGACTAAATGTAATAAGTGTTTTATTTTATTCACCAATGCTAAACGAAATGAATATAGATAACATTTGTTTTTATATCAATATGTTACTTACTAGATAAATAAACATGCTGTATTAGCTACGTATGGGTAACAAAGAAAAATGTAAACTTTCAATACCTACTTACCAAACATATTAATTTACCTACTATCGAAACAAGCATACATTCTCACCATATATAGAAAACGACATTGATCACAATTGCAAAACCATCTTCATAGTTACATAAGAATCCAAATCAATCTAACACATACTCACATGAACACAGCAATCATTATCAACACAATAATAAAAAAGTATTGTAATTCCTATCACCAATCCATCGTGTTGTAATATTGCTTAAAACCCCACCATGACCATTGTCGATGTTAGCTTGGAAAAAAAAACACTGTAATAATATAACAGTGATCCGTATAACACCAATTTCTCACTGTTTTACACGGTGTGTTTTTTACAAATTAAAAAAAAAAAAACTAAAAGAGATAAATTTACCTACCGACTTATCTCTCTTTAGAATCAGACCGTAAAGTTTCGAGAGGTGATTTTCAGCTGGTTTTGATCCATTTAAGAAGGCACCATGACATGGGCACACAATTTTTCTTTGTCTTGGAATATCCATTTTCTTGTTCAAAATTAGACTGAAACGTTATATTCCTTCTGACGATGTTTCCGCCACCAAGTATGCCCGCTAACAAAGACTATTCCCAACATAACCAAGACCATGCCTGTCACTTGGAAGGAATGTGGTATTTTCTGCATAAAGAAGTAGTCAAGCAGCAGGGTGATCGGGATGACAAACATGCGCACTGTAGTTGAGATGTACGCTTTTACAAATTTCAAGGCTGCAAGGAGCAAAAATGTGCCAAGACTCTTGCTCACCCCAAGTCCCACCACGTATAACACCGTACGCCACGACATCGTCCAGACTGGAATCTCTGCCGCGTATGTTATTCCCAGGCAAGCCACTGCCCCCAAAGTATCTTGATACAGCAATGCTGTGACTATTGGCACCCCAAGTGTTCCTGTCAGGTACCGCATAATAACCACGTCAGGGGCTAAGGCAAACGACGCAAGCAGAGGCATAACGATTGACATGACGAGTAGCTTGGTCGGCAATCCCCCTACCTGTGTATTCCCAACAGCCACTAGTACAACCCCTGATACGCTGATGACCATCCCAAAACCATCCACAAGACTCAGAGATTCCTTCAAGACCAAAAATCCGATACAGGCTACAAAGAACGGCATCAAACCTTGAATGATACCAAAAGCGATTCCTGGAACTGTGTAGACAAAAGAAAGAAAGTACGCAACCATAGAGACATTTGTAACCGTTGCAAATAGGAACAACATGAAATTCTGGCGTCTGTTTTCACCGTATAACTTTGGCCGCCAGAATGCTAAAATAGGAACAAGGGTCAGAAGCTCAATCGATCGCTTTAGGAAGAAGATTTGGAAACTTGGGATGCCTTCCTTGCTTATTAATGCTGTGAATTCGGCGGAAAAAGAGATAGCAATGGCTGACATGAGGGTTAGCACAACGCCCTTTGCTGCTTCAAATGAAGGCGTTTTCTTTACATCAGGAGTACTTCCTACGATTTCGGCTTCATTACTGTCACCGGAGGATGACATTTTCTTCTGTTTGTACTTTCTACTTGTACTACTGGTGTCAACAGACAGTATCGTGCTCGCTATTAAGGTTAACGCTACTCTTATTTACAATGACGTTAAGCAGCGCTACATAGATTAAGCATATACAGATTCAGTACAGTCCTTGTTTTGTACTTGTGACACCTAATGCAGTTCTTCTACTGCAAAAACTTTGCTCTTACTTTGTCCTATTTCTCTAAATCAGTCCGTGGCAATAGTGGCTGTAACTGTTCGTCGAGGAAATTTTCAGTATCTGACTATGGTGACTTCTGAAGAGAAGCTGACCTGTTGCTGATAGCTGTTTTTTTTAGGATTCCGAGTTCTCACTGATACCCTGTGTCGCGAAGAGTCACAAGTTTGCCGATACCCCTTAATAGGGAAGCTTCAACCGCGTACGTTCCTGAAATGACGACCTTGCTGATGACCCTCTTTTTTGGATGCAGCAACTTTGTTGAAGTCCTCTCTCTGGAAGTCACAGCCTGGCTGAATTTCTATTTCGGTAAGTTACAACCTCGCTGATGTCCTCTTTTCAAGCTGCAACCTATCTGATGCCCTTTTTTGGGAAGCTGTAACCTTTCTGGTGCCCTCTATTCTGCAGTTAATTCATCGCCATCGATGTATCCTGTTCTGCAAATGTTTTGTCGTCTTCTCCCCTGAGAAAAAAATGACAACAAATTAGCTAAATATAAAAACTGGTGACAATTACCTCAGACTACGGGAACGGCGTTGATACCAATCTCTGCATCGCGATGGGTAGCCTGGACAATATGTAATGTGTAACAGGAAGCTCTGCCTTCAAACATAACTCTGCGGCAGTCTTGTACTATCTATTCTTATGTACAGTTCTGTGACACATGTACAGTGATCTGGAGATAAAGCATAATATAGCAGTATGTTGTACCTCAGAGTAATATAATGTATTAAGTTCTTCGGAGAATTGGCAATGTCCCAGAACAAAAGAATTTACCGAAAAAAAACTTGCTGGAAAGATCTGATGCCGAAGGCTGTTTATTCCCTTTGATCAAATTGAATACGTCTCATAGTTCATCGCCACATGTCGAGTATTATTCTCGTACTGTTTTGTCTTCCTGTAGAGCTGGGGCAGGTACATATAGTTCTTTTCAGTTCTGTCGACAAAGCGATGTTAGTTACTACTATGGCAACACCCTACCCAATTCATCCATACATTATCATCCGAAGTTTAAGATGTCGATTGCCCTATTAGTGCAGCCAAGCTAAGAAACTTTTGCCTTATTTCAAGAAGAACAGTTACGAATAAGCTCAGAAAGAGTTTGATTTCCCATGGGAGCTAATTATGGGTCTGTATGCGTCACTGCCTGGAGCGATGGAGAACAGAGAAACGAGTGTGCTGGACACAGTGAGTTAGTGCATGATGCGTGAATAACATAAATGACTATAATTACCTGGTCATCATGTGCCTACTCTAGCCTCCTTCGCAGTCTTGTTGGGCGTCGGCGTTATTTTTTTCTGTGAGCGACGCGAGTAAAATGCCGTCATCACAAGGGACGATTTGCTGCCGAGGGAGCGCGAATCCTTCTCTCCGCGGCAAAATCTCCCTCGGCAGCAAATCGTCCCTTGTGGCGGCATATTACTCGCGTCGCTCACAGAAAAAGAAATAACGCCGACGCCCAACAAGACTGCGAAGGAGGCTATGCCCCCTCCAACCCAAATTAACATTTCCATCATACGCCAAAAACAGTTAGTAAATTTTCCAAAATCAAATTCAGTTGCTTGAGTAACTGTATATGTTGTATCTTATTACGTACACCTGGTTGTCTAACCTTCACTGACGTAATTTTAGTAATGCACAACAGTCCATTAGATCTAGCAGATCCTCAGGTTGTCAGATAAAGAAGGAATTTAACAAGCACTACGGTCGGATCAGGTTAGGTGGGGCAAAACAGCTAAAACATCTACAATATCGTAAGCGTAATTAATAAGAGAATGTTGTTTGCTGCCGTACAACTTTGCGACAATGCGTAACACTGGCTGTACAAGAAAGCTCACGCTTGAGCTCACATCATCATTACAGAAATAGCTAGACGAGAGCGCGGTCAATGGAATGTGGGTAAAACGTGCATTGTTTTTACAGGTAAAATGCAACAAAACGGTTCAAATGTTTGCAATAGCGTAATAATCACATTGTCATGTTTGCTAAGGTCCAACTTTGTGAAAATGTCTGACATGGCCATGGGCTGTATCATTCCAAATCGGGGACCGGCTGGCTGTTTGTATGAACGAAAAACTACCAACTCATATCAGGCCTAGGAATATACAGAAATAGTGCCCATGATTATCACCGAAAACCTTTTTCTGTTTCCTTGTCTTTTATATCGTACTTTTCGTTCCATAAGACTGCCCGGCCGGGCCCAGGTTCGGAAATGTGACGCCAACATTAGAAAAATTAACAACAGGCTTTCAAATGAGCACTCATGTCAATAATTTTGAACGAGCAATGAACATAACCTCAAAAAGCAAAGTTTCTACTCCGACAAATTAGCGTTTATGGAAAAAGATCCTCGTTGTCAATCTTTTCTAATTGGTAGAAAAAATACCAAAAATAATTCCTATGGAATCTGACTAAGAAGGAAACAAATGAATTGTTTCGCGAGTGCAATGTAGAAAAGTGGACAAAGATAGGTACGTACAGTGTAGATGAAGCAACTTGAAGGTTGGTTAATGTCAGCTTGCTGTCCACTCCGACTTTACAGAATAATTTGATGTCCAGCTGTCGTTTGTGCAGCCGAAGAAAGTTGTGCAATGAAGAGTTGGACATGTGGTCAGGTGGGGTCGATGTGACCTGGAGATGCTAATTATCATCATTGTCTGACAAAGGCAAATGATGGTCTGTTACATTCAAGACACGTGCAGCAAAAACCCGTGGTCTGTAATGACATACTAGTAGACAACGAAAGAGGTCTAGGACGTCCAGGTGTTTGATCCTTAATGACTGTCGACCATTCACGACACGTGCGGCAAAAACACGTTTTCTGTAATGACATACACAAAGAAATACATTAAGGACGTCCTGGTAGCTAGGGTGGAAAAAGCGTCCCAGACTGGTTGTCTAGCCGATGGATGTCACCACGACCCACAGCGGGGTTTAACAAAGCATTCGGAGATCTCAAACCTCAATGGAATATTTTGAGCTTTGTAATATATTTCAATAATCTTAAAATTAGCATGATCTATAATTTTTTACACCCAAATTACACATATATAATACCATAACGCGAACATTCTGATATCAAGGTTTCATTCTATTGTTAACAGCAATGACTCAGAGAATTCTGATTATTTTTTAACTTTACTATTTCACTCCACTCTAAATATTCGATTGCCCACAAAGATTGGTTGTTGAGTAATAGGGCCTCATAACCCCCCCCCCGGCCCATGCATGACAAAAAACGGTCTGAAAAGGTTAAATATGCAAGTGATGACTTCCCAACGAGTAATCCACTGTCTAGCAGGAATGGACACAGAATCAAACAAGGTTGATAGCTTATTATGATTAAACTGTCCATTATTTGTATTCCGACATATTGCACCAAACCTATTGGCCTTCCAACCTTGTTGTTCGTATATGTACGGTGGTGCCACAAGCCTGTTCGTTACATAGAACGGTTGTCTTTATCTTATACAAACAATTTGTGCAAATTGAATCAAAGTTTTTGAAGGACAGATACGATTGGAAATACAATGAAGCGCTTTTCATAAGGACATAATCGTTAACAAAACGTAATAGTATTTTGCCATTATCAAATTGTAAGTTTCCAGAGTCTTGATAGTTGAATAAAAATGGATTCGAATTCACATCCAAGCAAGAAGAAATCAGATCATACAAGCATTTAAGCAGAATAATATATTAAACTAGCATTTTATGTATTCCAAGTACTTTTTTTTTGCAAGTCTTATAGCTTTGTTTTTAGGCATGCGTTCCTTGCACTTTTTACAAAAGATCAAGGTAAAATTAAACGGATAAAGGTTTATAATTTACCTAAAACATTTTACCGAAAGAAAGACTCGCCAGTCAGATTAGGTAGGTAGACAATAATTCTAAATTATGCCATAATTATCAAATGCCTGTATGTTTTGGCTTATTAAGCTATCTAGACATATCCTATTCTGTTTTTGAACATTATCGAATACCGAAGGTTGGTTATATCGGCTATACTGATACAGATACAGAACATACCTAGCATTTCATTTGTTTACCTGTACTTAGCCCAATAGGGCATGAATGTACAACAAATTATCTGTTAATTTCTGTGGCGTTGAACACCCTAAATGATCCCTGCTGTGTAAACCTGGCGGGCTGTCACAGGTAGCGGCGAGCTGGGGTGTCTCGATCGTTCTCGTGTAGCTGGGCGAGTAAAGGATCCCCGGCCTGGGAGCAAACGGATAAAGTGTTTAATTCAGTATGAAAATAATGAGTGGCTAACTGCATGCAACTGAACCCATAAAACGTAAAGAGATTTAAGATCCCTAGTCTGTGTTGGAATGTGGGGTCGTGTGGCGTAGCGGCAGAATGCTCGACTCGGAACCAAGAGGTCCCGGGTTCGAGTCCTGACATGCCACCGATCTTGTGCACTTGGGAAAGTCACTTAACACGACTTTCCTCACTTAACCCAAGTGAAAATGAGTATTGTCATTTCATTGTCCTGTCCTGTATTTGTACTCTGTGTTGGTGGCGGCATAAAATAAGTTGATATAAGTTTAGTGTGCCGCCGGCAGCAGCCATGTTTGGTCATGAAATGTTGGAATAAAACAACAACAACACATTTCCGCTGTACCTGTTGTGTTGGGGAGCCTGTCTAACAGAGTAGTTGTGGACCGCCGGGTGAAGACAGGAGGTGGGGCTGTGATGGACGACTCTGACGTCACACTGCTCCGCCGGGACCGGGACCGGTATGACCCTTCTGTAGTGGGGGTTGTCGGGACCGGCTAGAAGAGCATTCATGGAGAAATGTAACATCGATATAGTTGCATTTATCCTGTGAAATTCCTATACTTTGACAGTATTTTATTTCAACATGTCCTCATTAATTCTGAAGTTATGTTGACTAAAAATGTGTGAAACACACACACACACTCACACAGACTGACAGTCAGACACACACTTACAGTCACACCTCTATTTTCTATGGAGACAACAATAGACTAAAGGCCACACCGTTCTTGTCCTGGGCGTGTCCGGTAGACTGACCAGGGAACCCTGGGAACTGGACCGGGATAGGCTATGTGAGGAGGCGCGGCGCCGTAATATGGCCATCCGGGCTTTCCGCTTTACCTGGACACAAAATCACAGTCACACATTTTTTTTAAGATCACAAGAGCTAGAGGTAAGTTTGACAATGTTTGCTACACAGTGTAGTCTATTTACCACTGATAGATTATTTAAGATCATTATAATAGAAGAATATATTGTTATAAATGAATCCAATATCATTGTAGCACATGCAGTAACATTAAGTCATTAAACAAAACGTAAAATACCAGTCTGCCTGGTCTTTGGTCTTTTTCCTTGCTCTCTGTGTCTGACTTGTCAGTTTCTCTCTCTGATTCTTCTTTTAGTTTCTGCAGCTTGTCCTATGACGGTCAAGAGTGGATAAATGATTTAAATTCTGGCTCCTAGATCTCTAGATTGTTAGCTGAATGAAAAGTTAAAACAATTAAATTATCAATAATAATCAATAAGTCAATAAATTAAATTTGTCTTAAATTGTACATCGAGCAAAATGCGATTACAGAAATGACCTATGTGACCCATATAAATGTGACGTAGATGCCCCGCCATTTTGTCTCTACATCAAAACTATTCACAAACCTGGAAACTCTCGCGAGACTTTTCCAACCTCTCGCGATGTTTCTTCTGCTCCTCCCGTTTGTCGCTTTGGTAGCGGCCCAAGCGCCTGCGCAGAAACATCATCCTGATTCTGGTGACGGCCAGCGTTTCTGCCGCTAGTTTGTGTTCGTCATGTATAACTGTATGCCACCTAGCGAAAGAGTAACAAATTACATATTATGAACTAAATGTTTTGCATGATGTTATGTGTAGTTTTTTTTATAACACCATCGTTTTTAATACTTCCCTTTTAAATTTCAAAATGCTATGGGTTAAGATAATACTTACTTCTCTTCCTCCTTGGTCCCATCTTCGTTGGTCAGAAGAGATAAGACAGTAGGAGATTCATCTTCTAGAGGCTCCTTAGACTTTCTCATCTTGCCTACCTCATCTTCAGAGTCCATCATAGCCTGTCTCCTAATCAAGGTTGTAAATATTAATTAGACTATAGTCATAGTAGACATAAAACAATAATATCAAGGCATCGATGTGATGAATGGTAGCTATAGTAGAATGTGAGCACATAGCCGCCATGCTGTTAGGTTGTAACTGGAGAACGTACATGTAGACCATTCCATGTATATGGACGAATTTACTAGTATCTAGCAATTTAACACCCAACATGGTGGACAACACGCTTAATACAAAGTGTTTAGACTCACTGTTGACAATAGCGATAAAATGCTTTTCAGAGGATGGCTCAGTTATGCACAATTGCTACCGCAGGTAAATACCTACTCTGAACGAAATAAATCACATGATAAATTCCAAAGTTTTTTAGAGAGTCTTTTTACTTGCCCGTAGGGTGATTGCAAACACATGTAACATGACAATAAAGGATGGACAGTGTGTAACAATATAGAGTGTACGTGACTATTTTAACTACTAAAAACTAAATTCTAACTATATGGCTTCGACTTTCGAGACAGTGGAAGACGAATGATCCCACTTTTCCATATTATCAATATTAATGTGTGGGTTTTGTGATGTTAGGAGGAGAGTAATTTTCTTTTTATCTGTAAACGTAAAATTAGGATGGAATTTGTTGACCTCTTCAAACACGTACTTTGAAGAGGCAGTAGAAACAGTATCTGACCTGGCGTATGATGACTCCACCTCGTTAAGTGCCTCCGCCTTGAGTTGCAGCGCCCTGTCCGAGATGCCTTGCGCTTCCAGCTCGCTAGCCGCGAACCTACGTCGGAACTCGTGAGTGGACTCTATAAAGGGCACCGAACTATCCTATAGTTTTAAAAAGGAGCAAAACGATTAGAAGAATCTCATTTCACAATTGTAATAGGTATAACATGGACATACATAGTTTCTACTGCTAACATTTATTTAAAATCACCAACATTTCTAAGAAATTGCAGATCTAACAGTTCTAAAAAGTAAATCTACTTTTATTACTAGATGATATTTTAATTATTTTCTTTAGACAAGTCTGGAGAATAAAAAAATCATACCATATTTTATTCAAATGATAATGGCTTTTAGTGAGTGCAATAAAAACGACAGAATTATTGTAGAAAACAGTGAGTTTGAGACGCGTTGAGATTGCAAAAGTTTTGGTTAGGATTTTGATTTAATAATTTTTCGCTGTTTTAGTATTTCTCGTGTTTACTTTATTATCATTATTATCTTATTTTTTTCACCTTATCGATGTCAGAGATGATAGTCGACGTCTCGTCTGACGAAAACGCCCATGATGCATCACTCTCTGATCTCTGTCCCAGGGTTATCTTGGTGGTTGCAGCGGTTACCGCAGACTTGGGCGCCACCAGGCGTTTTTTCCAGAGCGAGTTTGTCTGGTCTGAACCCATCATTGCTGCTGGAGCACTCTTTGATCTCTTGCTGAAGTATTTCGACCTTGAGGGATGGTCTGAGTATATTTTCAGATACATGGGGCTGTAAAACAAAAAATAGAAACATTAGTCTCACTTTACATATATGTATAGTTTGAGCCCCTTGTTAGATTTTAGAACAAAATTATCCTGACTATAAATTACCGTGTTTTTTTCTTTTTCTTTCATTAAATATTACTTTACTGTAGTTCATTATTTTCTAATTGGATATTTATATAATATCTTTATTACGTGAATAATACAAAGTGGAGGTCGCTGTCTGCCCCGGTTATCTCCCAGGATGATTTGGGCGACACTGCACC